TTTTCATCACGAATGCCTCTGGGGTGCAGAGTTGCCATTGTTGCTGAAACGAGCCCGTATTGCCGTGAGGAGCCTAAAGCGCCAGTTCCCAGGCTGCATGCTGCTGGTTGGCGTGGTATGGGCTGGCAACGAGCTCATTGGCAAGAAAGGAATTGAAGCTCAGACTTCATGGCCCTTCGATCATCCTGACGGCGATCACTACATGGAGCTACAGGACAAGGTGCAAGAAGAGCTGGTCAGGTTTGCCGCCGATATGTTTCGATACGGTGTGCACTCGGCCGCTCTCATCAGCGCGCCCGATCCTGAGACCTACAGCTTCACGCGGCAGGGACCCTACAGCGACTGGTTCAACCGGCTGAGTCAGTGGTTCCAGGATGAGGTGTATGGTTCTCAGATCGGCAAGTGTCGCTTCCGCCTAGTCAACATCAACGTCCTCAACATCCGCATGGACTTGCGTGACCAATGGCATTGCGAAAAATCGGACGAGAATGCAAATCATATGTTCTCATTTTGTCAGAGTGTATTCCACCTGCTTATGAGACTCTACGTTCTCGGAGATATCGCATTGGAAGTAGCTGCCACCAGTCCGATGAACCGTCCGCTCGGTGGACTTGAGCTTCGTGATGATCGCCTCCCTCCACATCAGCGATACGAAGAGCTACTCCGAAACCTTGCCGATGTCCGCCACAAAAGGGCAATCGCCGCAGCCGAGCTCACCGCTCGCGCCCTTACCAAGAAGGACGTCGCTGCGGAGCAGCCAAACCGTGCTGCGCCGATTACCGAGGCAGACATGGCCGTCATCGATGATGAGCCCGAAGGGGAGGAAGATGATCCAGACCTTTCGGAGATTTTCGTCGCAAATGACGCCACGGCAGAAAAGATCCTCCAGCAACGCCTTGATGTCATGGAGGAAGAGCAGGAGAAGATTGCTGCAGAGCTGGACATCAACCGAGAAACCTATGAGGGTCGGCTCCAGACGCTTGAGGAACTCAGCCATCGCGTTGAAACTGGTGAAAACCCAGCGGCATGGCTCGACATCGATGCCATCGATGATGAGGATGTATCGCCATATGAGGAGGTCGTGCCAGAAGAACATGAAGAAGAAAGCGCACCTCATGGTGAGGAAGGCTCGGCCGCCATCATTGGCGAGCCCGAGCCTGAGGCACCCTCATCGCCGCCGGCAGCTGATGCTGACGAAGGCCACGTTGTGTGCCCTCAGTATCTTGCAGACCAATACCGCGAGTACACGTACAAGATGGCCGAGGTCGATGGCGCCTTCCAGCAAGTGGTCCAGCTTGGCGACAAGCAATTGCCGCTCCACTTTGCGAGCGGATGGGAGCTCAATGGCGGGCACCTTTTCTTCGCGAAACCCCTCAAGGATTGGCTCACCCAGTTATCCAAAGTTGTTCGACAACATGACCAATATCTGGGCCTTGAGGTTGACGAAGATGGCTACGCAGACTTGGACGAAGTAGCCAGGTGTTTCGGCCTGAATCACCGCAGTGCCCCGCCGCTCACCGTCAAAGACTTGATCGCCATAGCAGCAAAGGACAAGAAAAACCGATTCGAGTTTTTGGGCATTCGAGAAGGGCACAAACTCGAGGAGAAGGGCGTGGCACTATGGCCTCTGAAGATGCGTGCCGCTGCTGGCCAAAGCAAGCACGCGATCAAGAGCGCACAGGACAACTACAGATCGGCAGCCCTGATGTACTGCAGTCCTGCGCTCAGGCCAGAAGCCAAAGCTCCCTTCATTGGGAAGCCCATCGCCAAAGCGGATGAGATCCCTGTCTTGGCCTACCACCGCACGAGGCCAGCGTGCTGGAAGCGGATCGTCAAGGAGGGCCTTATCCCAGGCGGAGGCGAGTTTGTTGGCAGCGATCGAGCCCATGTCTACCTGGCTGCAAGTCGCATTACGGAGACCGACTATCAAAGCGGTCTCCGCGGCAAGCACCCTATTCAGCTTACCGTTGCACTTCGGGAAGCAGTCGATGGCGGTCTCATCTTTTTCCAGAACCGCTCCGGTGGGATCATGACGGTTGACACGGTACCTCCAGAATACATTGTCTCCGTCGAAAACACCGAAAGCCAGTCCACACTCTGGACCAGGGTAAGCGCCGTTGGCCTACCCGAGGCTGCTCCAGCGGATGGAGGTGAGAGCCGGGCCGCCATCACTGGCGAGCCCCGGCCAACCGCAAAAGCAATGCCTGTTTCCCTGACCGCAACCAGCAAATCGGCACCTGCAAGCAAGGCTGCACCTTCGACTCCACCTACTTCCATCGTGAATGTGGCAGAGCAAGATCAACCTGAAGCATCTTACAGCGGGTACGCTCCGCCTGAGCCTGCGGGGCCTCCACCTGGCTTTGATGCGCCGATCACCGCCCCGACACTTCGAAAGGGACGCAAGCTGACGGTGATCCAGGTCGAATGCAGCCAGTGCAAGGGTCTAGTCCTCAGGGGCATGACCCACTGTGACATTTGTTCAGCCGAACTTGCCACCAACACCGAGCTGCCGGAGGAAGCCGTCGCCAGACTTTCAGTTCTCCGAAAGCAGCAGCTTGCGAGGGCCGGCCTCGCTCGCACTGAGTGCCCAGTCAGCGACTACATCAAGGCTGGCCTCAACCTGCGTGTGGTGTCTGCAAGCGGCCGTGGAAACATGAGCCCAGAAGCGATCATGATCCAAGACGCTCGCAGCCGGATGAAGCGTGCAGACAAGTGTGGCTTCCAGAGCATCGAGGATCGCTTCGAGCATGACGTCCAGTTCATGGAACGAATGCTACAAATGGGCTATGACCATCGGGCAGCGCAGCGGCAGGATTGGCTTTGCCATGCTCACTTGGCGAACCCGCCGCGCAACAAAGCGCAAGTCAGCCTGGGCCTTGGATATGACGAAGATCATTCTCTGGCACGGCTGGCCTACATCGACGTAGCGCCCGATCGCTATCCACAGGCCATGGACTACATTCCTGAGCAATGGTGCGTGATCTATCGCACAAACATCCTCTCCTTGCTTGAGTACATCGAGTACATCAACTCACCCGACTCCCATCGTGGCCTTTTGGCTTGGGACGGTGTGCATCAGATGAGTCAATACTGCGCAATGGAGGAGATTCGCCAGCTATGCCATGACAACCTCTCCGCTGCCAGGCGTGATGTGGTCAACAAGCAGACTCAAGAGCAGCGCCAGCAGCAGAGCAAGGGCAAGCGCAAGTCCTCTACCGGAGGTGATGGAACTCCAGCTTCAAAGGCAAAGGGAGGTCCGCCACCTTCACCGGTGAGCCCACGTGCATCCGGATCAGCATCGTCCTCGTGGGGATGGAGCTCATGGAACTGGAGCGAGTGGGGCGAGCAGCGGCAGTGGGACCGCCGCTCGTGGGACTGGAGCTCGAGTCGGAGCCAGTGGCATTGGCGTTAGTTGAGCCAAGTCTCAACCTTTTTGCCTGAGCGAGCATAATTCATTGCATGACATCCATTGTCAATATGTATGCGGTTTTCCTCCCAAGTCCAAACTTTCAATTTCTTTTGGCGGCGGGGAGTGAATAATTAAAATGCACGTACAGGGCCACGAAGGCAGTGGATTGCTAGCGTCCACAACTGCCATGCAGCTTTGAGCCGACATCACTGTCGCGCCCTGCACAAGCCCTCGTGCACTTTCCGCGTCCAGCTTCGGGAGCAAAGCTACCTTAGCTGAGGGGGGTGTATTTTCACTCCATGTAATATGTACATTTTGTACCTTGCACATAGTAGGATGTCATGTTGACTTTACCTTCGCAGCTCGCGGCCCAAAACAGGAGTTGCAGCTTAACGGCTGTTTCTATAGATTTCAACAACGAGCAAAAGAAGACTGGCACCGCAAAAGTTATCTGATGGCTACCCTGGTTCAGGATAGTTACTTTACAAGAAACGCAGTAAGTCAAAAGATTAGAGGTATAACTTGTGTTTTTGTTCTGTCCTGCCCCCCCCCCCAAAAAAAACAGAACCTTACAAAAAGATCAACGATTTTGACCAGAGTGTGGTATTGAAAGCGCCTTTAGCAACTCCATACAATTTTTACCCAGCAGATAAAGCGCCGCAAACATGAAAGTTCCTAAATCTAAAAACCAAACAAATCTGCAGACCTGAGTAAGCCATGCAACAGCCTGAAAGTTTTAAGATCTGCCATTACAACACACACACACAGTTCGAGCGAGGCAAGCGATCGATCAAAAGAAATCTGCAGACCTGAATCATCCTGCAAGTGCCTGAAAGCTTTACAAGTGGGAATCATCCTGCAACAGCCTGAAAGCAAGAACAACACTAAAAAATGGCAGGTACAGGTGGATGATCAATCAACACCATCCAGATCAATACTTTGACCTTTGTTTTTTGCTCTCACAGCAAATTTGGAGCCTGATCCTTTTGAAGGATTTATTCAAAATCCTTGCTGAGAATTCTTCACTCTATGTGCAGGTGCATCTTGATTTAGATGCTGCTGTTTGTTGCTTCTAAATGGGCTGTAACCCTGTAACCCCGTCTATGTGCAGGCAAGTTAGTTTGTGTCCTAAAATCCTTTGCAACATGTCCACTCGACTTCAAACCAACCATAGTGTGGACATAATGGAACGATTGGCGTTATTGCCGTTTATGCTTGAAACATCAACCATACTAAACTCTTGGTCCAATGCCATTGGGCTCCTAGACCTGATCTGCATCTGATATCGAACACGGCCTCAACTTCCACCACGACCTTTTTCATCAAAATCCCGAAAAACCGCAAGAACTTGGGTCATCTTCAAGCACTGGCCCCGCCACTGCACCGTTCGGTTGAACGGATGTCTTCAATGTTTGCAGTCATTTTCTCTCTGCATTCTGTGGAAGATTCTCGACGGATGAGCTAGGTATGGACCAAATCAGTTATAGAAACTTTGAAACCTATTGAAACCTCAAGTCCTTGTCACGGTCTTTTTTCAAGCGTCGCTTAAGAAAAAGGGCCGACTAGACGGGTAGGTGCCAGCTTGCTCAAGGCACGCTTTGTGGCCGACGAGACTCTGCCGCTGACCTTCTTCAAGGCGAAGCGCGACTAATTTACAACTCAATTTGTTTGACTCATGCATTCTTTGGGCCCGGAACCATGTAATCATGACGTATTATGGAATGGCTTTGGGATTTCTATGGTGTGAGTAAGACAGGAAGGCAGGATCAGGTGCGATCCGGAGCAGAATCCATCCGGGCATCGACCCGCCGGTGTCCCTTGGAGAAAGTTTCAGAGTCATAGCTACAGGCTACTAGTAGCGTCCTTGCTCCTAGTAGCGATGCCAGGAGCCCCTAGTAGCGTCCTTGCTCCTAGTAGTAAGGCCAGGAGCCCCTAGTAGCTTCTTGCTACAGGCTACCTACTTGCACAGATCAAGACATGATCAGATATGACCATCACTGCTTGCCACTCTTCGATGGACGTGGACGGACGTGACGGTGAGTTCTCCACACTCTGCGCCGGGAGAGCGCGCTCGGCTGGGTTCTCCCAGCGCTTTCGCAGCGCTTGCGGCGCGATGCATGCGCTGCCAGGATGGTGTGAAGCTTGGTCATTGTGCCTTCCAGCACCTCGCTTTTCCTCAGCAATGTATTTTCAAGAGATTGGGAAGAGATGACTTCTTCTCCAAATGGCTTGGCTTGGTCCGGGTTGGGCGCGTTTTTGGGGGGTTGAGAGGATGGGGACCCTTACCCATTGTAAGACACACTTATGACTCGACCGATGATGACCTCATATTTGCAGATGTGTCAGCTGAGACACCAAAGGTATTTAAAGGTGGTGAAGTGGGATGCTCAGCAGCTGCATCAACTCCCACATATGCACTCAATCCGTCATGTGTGAGCCTCCTCACAGACCGTTGAAGGTTATTGCTCTGTGTAGCAGGGAAAGGAAGACCAAGCTCTGACCACGCATTGGTATTGCAGTAATTTGGGGTCCCTAATTATGGCTTGACAAACTGGTCCACTGCAGAGCTTGAAAGACTTCGAGGAAAGAAACAGAGTAACTGAGTCCAGTGACTTGTCTTTTTGCATCGGGACCTGCAGTCAGTGTGAGGACCTGTGTTGAACACAGAAATGTCTTGCCATTTCATGCAGTCACCTGGATGCATCTTCATACCATTGCATGCCCTTCAAGTTGCCTCTCCATAACTCCACAGAAGTTGAGCATGGCTAAGCAGGGTTTTGCCCTGTGATTTGTCCAGTAATGCTCATTGCCTGGCCGCACCCATGCTCGAGCTAAAGCAACAGGGGAAAGCCTTTGAATCTTGGAATTCTGATATCTGAGGTGCTACAATTCCAGAGGAGCCCAACAGCTAATTCAGGACATCATGGATGGTCGGGGACTTGGCGGGGGTCCTCTCACCAAAGAGTATCTTTTCTGTTGATCTCAGTCGTGAGTTTCCCCATGTGTATATAGGTAGGAGTTTGGTTGTGATTGGAGGTGTACAATGGTTTATGATATGAATGATTGATTTATGATCCGTATGCCTTCCATCAGCAATTGTTCAAAGCTCGATCTCCAGCATGGCAAGGGCATATTCACAGCGCTCAGATGCGCTCAGCTCAGGTTTTTAAGTTAAAGATTCTTTACATACCCCGCACCACATTCCGCAACTTTTGCACTGAATCTCGTGCCTTCGAATGCTTACTTAGCAGGCTCGTGAATCTGAGACATATGTATATAAATTGACTGTGCTGCCATCATTGAATTTTTAGATTTCTTTCAGTAGAGAAGTAAGACATGTTGCAGGGTATTACGCACCACAGCAGAATTTTGACACTGTATTGTCTTTTGCATTATCACTCGGACAATGCATTGTGCATGTAAGTATACAATATATATATATATATTAACAGTGTTTGCCAGAAAGTTGTGACACCCCTTGAATGTATATGTTGAGCGCAATGGGCCGACCAGCTTTGGAATGTCTTAGACATTCCTTTTGAATGTCAGGAGGACCAGTGTTTCACACATCCAACATTTGGGGACACCACCAGCGCTTCGTAGCACCTTTTGATTTGTGATCGTGATCAGTGGCATGGATTCCTTCCCGCCGCACAACTCCCCACTCGAATTTCTGACAAAGGCCTGGTTAACAGCCAGGCTCGTGTATGGAACGGGATATGAATTGCAAGAGTTTGGCTCCTCTCTCTCTATACATGCTAATCCCCCCCCTGTACCTATTCAGGCGGGTGCAGTTTCCGACACAACTTCCTGATGTTCAAAGAGTCCACTAAAACCAGGCTTCAGCAAGCCTTGTGGGCTCGGCAACAGCTCTAATTCGGAGCTTGGAACTATTTTCAACTGACAACCTTGCAATATATTGAATAACATGGGTCAACAAAGCTGATGTATTAAACTATTAAATATTAACGCTTCTTTACCGGCCTTTTGACGGAAGAATAGGATCCTTAACAGAAGAAATGTCCTTCACATGGACCCCAGCACATACCATCAGCCTTAGCACACAAAAGGTGCTTCTTCCCAAATGTGAACCACAGGGGTTCAGGAGACTTAGTTTGATAGAAGCCAATGTCCTAAGTGGTATGAACTAATGTCCTAAAGAGAAGCCCGCAACCTAGATCGACGCCTGCGTCCAAATTAGGCAACGGCGGTCCCAGAAAGATACATGTGTGTGTGTTCTTCCTACTGCATTAGCACATGTTTTGTGCATGAATAGAACCTGGCCCCAATGTAGCACGAGTTGTTTGTAGTAGGCTTTATTGCTTGTCCTCAGGCATATTGTGCTTTGTTTGTTGTCAATGACCCGAGTCAATGATCATCCCCAGCTCACCTTGCTTCAACATCTGTCCATTACAATCTTCCGAACTCTTGTAATTACAATTTCTCTTCAGGACGGAGGAAAACTAGCTACTACATTAACCCATTGAACAAACTCTTCTACATTCTACATCAACCCGTTGAACATCAAACTGAAGGCTCTATTTGAAAAGACTGTTGCTTGTAAGCAGCACTACAACCTTGGAGACCAAAAGCCAAATCCATCACAATCCCTCAAACACCTCCAAAGGGTCCCAAAAGTTCAATGGGTTCAGGTCCATCCCTGAACTAAACCAATCCAAACCAGTCAAAAAGCGAACACCAATGAGGGCCTGCAAGAAGCTCGAGAGGGTATCTAGAAAAACCAAAGTGTTCAGGTCTATCTATGGAACAAACCAATTCAAAGCAATCCAAACCAATGAGGGAATGCAAAAACCTCAAGAGGGGGCCAACAAAAAGCCAAGGACAATGTTTAAGGAACTATGTATATATTGGTCATTGGTCCTGAGATGGAAGTAAACACTGTGTTTTTCCCTTTCGAGGTTTTGGCAAACCCTCAGTGGTCGGGATTGTTTGCTTATTTTTTAACGTGTTTGGTTGGTTTAGACCGGTTTTTGGTCGAGGGATGGACCTGGAAACTTTGGTTTAACTGTTCCTTTTTGATTGCTCTAGACTCTAGACTTTTTGCAAGGGCTCATTGGTTTTGATTTATTTTTGTTCCTTCAAGTTCCGTCAATCATGTTTGTAAGTTTAGTTGTGTTTTTACAGGTTTCAGTGGGTGTATCAAGTTGCTTATAAGAAGCTGTAAGCTGGATGTGCTTATGACAAAATATTATATATATAATGTGCTGTATATATATAGTTTAACATGGTCTTCGATTTAACACAGAGGCATATTCCAAAAAACTAATTACTATTGATATCTATTGATACATCATTGAACATGGTTTGCGATGTACATACATGTGACTTGAGTCGTACCCTTCCCCCCATCATAGGTGTGCAGCATACTTCACTTTCAAAATCATGGATACCGTGGAGTATCGTCTATACATCCTAGCCTGGCTGCATGTGTTTTTGCCAGTTTCACTTTAGGTTTATAGAAACAATTAATGAGTACATTCAAATAACATCAAATAAGGTTAAATTATTTGGCTTTTTATTCAACCATATCTTCTCCTGCCTTAGTGTGTGTGGATCAATCGAACTTAAACAAACATGAGATGACTGACAATGACACAAAGAAAGGCATGGGCGCCTGCTGAGGCTATTTTCCTTACGAGCTCAAGAAAGACTACCCTGATGGGGTGATGCTGAAGGCATGCTGGACTTTAGCACCGACATGGCTGGTGGAAAAACATTGTATGAGGGAATGTCACTCCTGAACATATCTTGCACTCTCAAAAATACATTTGCTCCAACACAAAGGTCGAGTGGTGACTTTATCATGCAAAGACTACAGGGGGTTCTTGACTCACTTGCAGAGCTTGCTGATCCTAGGTATCCAGCTTCAGAAAGATAAATCTGTGTTTTCTACACTGAAGATCAATGTTGCTGCTAAATCACTGAGTCGATCGATCCAAGGGCCACATGTTCGATGGAATTTCTGGCCGAATGCACCAGAGCAAGGGCTCTTGGCTTCCGAATGGGCCAGCGCTTCGGTGTCCATGTCCTCGGTGTTAGGTCATCGACCGCACAGCGGACACCTACGCACTCTGGAAGGCGAAGCAACACGAAGAGAGAGGGGCGAGAGAGTCAAATCCGAGCCGAAGGAAGCTGGGGAGGCCACTGAAGCCTCTTCGGTTCGACAGTACATGGTTTAGTACACAGTTTCTGAGAGGATGTTTGCTGGAGTGACATGTCATGTCATTCCAAGACAACATCCTATTGGTGGATAGCTCACAAGTGTGACATAGTGTTCCAATTTGATGTTTGTAGCCGTTGATTGGTTTCTTCCACTCACCCTCCAGAAGAACGAGTTCAAAAACGCACGCCAAAAACCCACCCTTGTAACTAGGATCTTTATGATTTGTTGTGTTAACAGGCTTTTCTTTCGTTTGGTCCATGTTTGCTGCAGACCACTGAAATTCTCCTGGGAACCTGTCGAAGGTCTTTCGGCAGCGAATCGCATCAAAGTCCTTCAGCAGTAGCCACAAGCGAGGAAGAACGCTGAAGCATGCAGAAAAAGCTGCAGATCATCCAAGATCGACGAATATTCTAGGGCGTTTCTTTGGGTCGCATTGTGGCAAAGGCCTATGGTTTGGTTTGGCCACCCTTTGAATACTTGGAAGGGGCCTCCCGAAGAAGTGGTGAAGAAATTAGCGGATGCTAGTGATACCATCAACAAACCCAATCACAACTACAATCTTGAGTAGTCGATACCCTTGGGAGGGCCCATTTGCCATCTTTGGAAAATGCTCAGATTGGATTCCTGCATTTTGTGGGGTGTAGGCGGAAATGTCCTACATAGACAGATAATGACAGATATACTCCTTGGGGATTTGCTAGGGAACAATGCTGGGACCACTAATCACTGTGCTGCTGGGCGATTCACATCCATTCAATTCAAGCATCTTGGCATCCCGGTCTCAGGAGCACGCCAGTCCCTTTGACCGCGCACGGACGCCTGTGTGTTCTGCACCTGGTTCTGTGATCAAGCTGTAATTAGGTTGTAGGTGAATCTTGTGAAGAGGGATTTTAGATGTCCACCGCTCCCTAGTTAGATATGGGTCAACAGCTGGAGCCCTGCTTCACCATGTAGCGAGTGACCTGACTTCGGTAGGTCCAAGGGTCTTCTGGTGCCATGACCCACAGCCAATATGGGTCGAGCTGGAAGCTTCATACTGACTGACTGCCTTGTTGCTTTTTAAATATGTGTTTTTCATCCCAAGGATCTCGCATCTGATGGAGACCGACTTGCCGTGGGCCAGGTACGCCGTGGGGCAGCCAGATAGGACTCCGAAATGACAAGTGGTGGAGCTAGCACTCCCTCATTTCTTGGCCAAGCAAGGTTCGCCAAGGTTTGGGAAGACCTGAATTGCCCTATCATGTATAGTACCAGGTAACCAATATAATATGTGTGATATGCTTACCATAGAGAGCTGAGTTACTGTAGTACGTAGGAACTTGTTCCTGAAGGCCTCAACGTGATCAAGCTTGACCCATATGGAGAAGTCCCTGACAGGGACTCGTTCGAAGGATTTTGATGTTGTAAGTTAGGTTTTCGCCGTGGCGTAACCGGACATCGGTGCAGATCAGGAATGAGAATCATGTCCTACTTACTTATAGAGTGCCTTCCCCAAGGGCAACGCCAGGGTGCTCCCATTTGCACATGTTGCTGGAACTTGGAGGATGTTTCAGGATTCTCCGATTCGTTTCACACGCCTTGTTCGCCACATGCAGACCTGGCTCCGGTGTCCGTTTTCTTTGGGCAGACCGGTCTGTGAAAGGCATGGACATGTGTTTTCAGCGGCCTGGCAGGTGCTGAACAGTGGCCAGGGCTCGGAGAAGGCATCGAACCGAGAGCCAAATTCATATGTTCAACCTTTACACTTTGGATGATTGAACCCACTGACTACTGTACTACTGTATTATTTATCAAGTGAGTTGAAACCACTGAAACCACTGACCAACCGGATATCCATTTTATAATTTGTTTTGGATGTAATGACAGTGGTTTGCACCACAGCCACATATCCTGCCCATTCGAGACAAGCCACATGTGAAATCCTCTTCTTGCGGAACTAGAGACAGACATTATTGAGGAAACCTCCTGGCTCAGTGGCTTCCAATTGCTCATTTTCAATGTTGTGAGAGAGAGAGAGAGCGAGCGATTAGTTCCCTACAGTTTGCCTCCTTTTGCCCCTTAAAGTGAGTGTACCCTTGCCGGCCCCCATTCACCTCTTCAGGTTGTGCGTGCCGGCAAAATCTTCGAGGTCTGTTCCGTTCAGGGGCTTTTGTGGCGCACGTGCTGTAGCCTGTGGTTTCCTGATCCTCCAACATAGACATAGTCAACGTGAGCAGAACAAGTCGAACACCTAAAATGTTCAGCTGCAACTCACTAGGCCAAGAGGGCGTATAGGGCGCTGCCAGAACATCGGAAGATTACTTCTTTATAAACATAGGAACATAGGCATCATAGGACCATCGAGTGATCTGTGGGGATGTGCAGATCTCCATGTTTGGGAGAGCCATATCGGTTTGAGCATTCCAAGAGAGAGTACAGTGTGACCACTGACCACGGATAGCACAAGCAACTCGCACTGATACACCCAAATTGAAATATGTCGTAAGTGTACTGCAAGTGTGTTTTGGATATTGAGGGACTTATGAGGTGGAACGGAACCATCAGTGACGCCCCACAATTGACACCCCCAAGTACAATTGGGATATTTGGGGTCTATCATCCGCTGGGCCCAGGTAGTAGGATAGACCCAAAGGATATTCCAAGACATCTCATCTGGGCCTCATCCGGGATTGCTTTCAACCACCTCGACATTTCTATTCCTTTCTGTTTTCGTTTTATTATCAAAGTCTGGTGACTTTGACTTGCGATCGGGCCGTGATCGCAACAAGGCAGGTTTTTTGTTCTTCTATTCGGTACGAAATGAGGCGGGATCTGGCCCTCCCAACGAACCAAGCCTTAAACGATTCAAAGACTTGAAAAGACCACGTCGTAGACTCCATGATGTCAGGTGTTCATTGCACGGCAACGAGTGCCAACAACCCCATGCTTGCTATGTGATTTGAAATGACCCTATGTAGCTATATAGGCAGCACCAACATTGATACCAGAACTAACTAGATCGCTGTGGCCGATCATTTTTGACAAAGAGCTCTGGGCCTCGCCACGTTCGAAGCTTTCTGAATTAGACATGACAAAAGGCAAACATGATTCTGATGCATCACAACCCGTGTATGACGTGTTTGTTTGTTCAATGGCTTGTGAAACATATGAAACTTGGGCTTGCAGCATGTGAAACAAGACAGAGTCTTAAAAGTTTCAGGCCAAGCGTAGATACTTTGTTTTGGATGACTCTTTTCTTTTCCCTTACAAACATAGTTGTTCACCTACAACGGCTGGCCCAACAAACGACAACCGGATTGCTTGCTCAGATCATCTAATACAATTATACTTACTGAAATGCCTTTTTAGCCCTCATTTGTGCCGAGCATGAACGCTTTGGACCACCTGCAATCTATAGAACTCCCTGCTTTTTTGGATGGCTTGGTACACCAGGAACGGACAGCTCTGACCTCCACATGCTACACACTACGTCACACGACCGAGATGCATATAGAATCACGCACACACAGCCGCTCTTGTGCTGTTTTGCCTCAAGTGGTCATGAGCCATGAGGCCAACATGATTGGGAAGTGTGGGTGTGCGTTTGCAGACAGGAACACACATTGGAAGGCAATTACATTCATGATGCAATTGTTTCAGGGTGATTAGTTTTGGTAGTCAGACTTTTCACTCTCTCCCTTAGGAACACCAGTTGGGTAATAGCTTTTGTAATCTCGGTGGGTCTCAACGGCCTCACCTCATGCCCGAATCGCAGATACCCAGTCGAATCTATTTGATACATCTTCAGGATTCCGCGAGAGGTGCAGCAAAACCATTTCATTTAAGACTTTGCTGGTGTGCGTGTCACGATGTTGTTACTATTGGCGGTGCACCAATATATAGTTTTAATTCACATTTAAATCGGCCTTTGCACCCAAGTTTGCATCAACACGTGAATTAAGACTTCGGTCAACATTTGGACCAACTGTAAAACAAGCATAGTACGACTCTAGACACTCTTTGGTAATACAAAGCAAGACAACACAAAATCATGATTCATTGTACAATTGCGTACTGTAATTGGCAATCCTACATACACTGCGGACACTGCGGACAATCCTACACAGTCAACCTCCTATGATGATTCCACACCTAAGCCAACCATTTTTGCCACCCCCTACAGGCCTGGATTGCTCGTCACGTGTCAGGCTGCTTTGTTTGCTTCTTGCCTTGTGTGCACAGCCTTTGGCTTTGGCAGAGGAGATCTCCTGCACAGCCTTTTGAAGACATGTCCTGGTTTCTTATGCTTCTCCTGCAAAGCTCGTTTGTTATTGAGCACACCACAGGCCACAGGCAGTTGGTGTTCATTGACTATTTGGCAATGAAAACTCTCAGATGAAGCAGAGTCAGTACAGTGGTTTCAGAGTAGATGGCTTACTAAAGGTGGTTTATATGGACCCACATATTAAGCACATCTTTGGGTGCCAGTGCCATCTACTCTGAAGCCACTGCAAGCCAATCAGAGGGGCCAACCTTTGGTTCTTTGGTTGTTCTTTCACTTTCGGGGTGGTTGGGGTTGTTTGGGACCCGCTTGATTCAAAAAACTACCTGAACAATGACACGCCGAAACCTGTTGTGGCAGACACTTAGCTGGTTACCTGCTGCAGACTGAAATGAGAGTATGGCCGTACTGTTCAATCATACTTGCATGCTCAAACACATGGTGGATGATAATGACGACAACAAAAGGACTTTTTGAATACTCCCATCCAAGAAAGCCAGCATCAGGTACTTGTAAGACCTGTTCAAGAGTCTTTTCAAGATATCTCCAAAAACAAAGCACATGTTTCCAGCTACCCGCACCGGGTCGCAAAACCACAGCCTTCAGTTGGCTCCCTCTCTTGGGATTGCCAGCCTCCAAAACACGGCACAGCCAGCGTGCCGACCCAAAACCCTTTCTGCGCAGCGAAAAGAGACTCGCAGCGTCAAAACCGCCGGCTGTCACGAAGGAGGAAGAAGATGCCTCCAATGTCATCGAGGTCATGGTTTGGCACTCGGTCAAACCGCTGTGGTGGACCGAAGAGCGGTCTGTCGACTGCAGTCATGGCAGTAAAGAAGATCGGATTGGAGTGGTAAGAAGCCATGAATCAACATGATGGACAGGTACAGTAGTGGGAAGCTCACGGAGTTATATAGATTGTGAGTTAAGATTGAATCTCGAGCGCTTTGTCCTTTCTGCAGACCAGGTTGGATCTTTTTCACGACATATTTATATAATCATATTTATTGGATAGAGCGATAGGTAAAGGTGAAACGGTTTACCTTTGCAAATTGATGTGTTCCGGGGGTTCCAGTTTACAGTGTGCCATAGTCTTCGAAGGCTTTTGCCCGAAGCACATGTACTTAAAGTGAATCCAGACTATTCTAGACCAATTGAGTTCGGTGGTTGTCTCAAGACTGCAGACTGAAATGAGCTCCACTTTTCCCCCTGAAATCTGGGACTTTTCTTCCCCTCACAGGCCTGGTGCAAAGGTGTGATCCAAGGCTTGGATTGGCCACAGGCCAGGCCAGACGACGCGACGCGTGGCGTCATCCCAAGGGGACGCCGGGGGGTGTCAATAGGGGATAGATTGCGAGCAATCAAACCTTTTAGTGACTCAGTAAAGATACGTAAAGATCCCATAGATGGCTTTTTACTATTGCTTGGTTGATGAATTGAGGGGATACCCCTCAGTGTACAACCAATATCAACCAATAGGTATATGTATGAGTGTATGTATGGTCCCACATTGACCCCTCCACTATTCCCAAAATCACATTATTGAAAGATGAAGCATGTTTCTTTGGACATCGTCTATACTACATGTGTCATTTTTTCACCGTCACCTAATGGCTTTGCGCCAACCCGGATGCAGGTTCTGCGCCTTGCGAAGAAGGAGTGCAACCTTGATGCACTCGACTCAGCTGATCTCAGCTGTCAGCTGAAGCGGTTGCACGTGCTGGCATTATGGGATCTAGAATCTAGTCAAGGAGGTTGCCAATGTACTGGGTTCATGTACTGTAGATAGTTTCCTTTCTAGCGATGCTAGGGCTTGCAGGAGGTGTTCCGTATTGAACAACGGACACACCCAAACAGAGACATTGAACAACGCCTGGCCAACACTGGGTCAAGGTGTGGTGCATTTGACAGATAGCGGACACCTATAGTGATGAAACAATAGATGGGCAGGAAAGGAGCATACCTCTTCCATTGTTCGAAGATCTTCCAGATCTAGGCAGTGTCGGGCAGGATATCCTTTCAAATAGGAAAAACCACATCTCCAACGGAGTTCCAGATGGTTCCAGGCTTTCAGATCAGTATCCTGGATACGCAGGTTCTGCCCCGGAGTTGTTTTTCATCCAACTAACCCACAGAAGTGATTTAGTGGTCATCCAGGTGTCCACAGATGCGCTCTTCCTGGGTCGCACAACCCTTTGGACCCCTCCGAACATGTTGTACATGTATCAATTGGAACTGTCTTTCGGTCTTTGGGTCGACCAAAAGGGTCGTACGGAGTTGGTGTTTTGCTGCTGAGGCAGGCGACGATGAGCTGCTACGCATCGGTCCGAGCCCTGGAGGATGGGTGACCGGTCCAGTTGAAGCCCACTACCTCTGTTTCGAAGGTGCTTGGGGTGGATTTGGGTGTTCTAGCTATAGCCATTGAGGAGATGGAAAACGAAGATAACGAACCGTGTTCTTCAGAATGGATCAGGTTCGTCAGGTCAGGAAGTCATGGTCCAATGAGAACCTGACATTCTTTCAGAAGTCTTTCTGGGTTGGACTTCTTTGGGTTGGCCACCAGGTCATAATGAAAAATCATAAAAACACACGAACACTGACAAGACCTGAAGTCATGGGACAGTCTGAAAACTCAGAGGCGAGAAGACTGGTCCTTCGGGCCCAACCTGAAAACATCGGATGGGCAGCGGAACTCCCAAAACCTGGACAAACATCATGCTACCAGGCACCCAGGTGTGTTTCTCGCATTTTTTCGTTAAGCCAGGGGCCCTGGGGCGTTCGTCTTGGGTGAGCAGAGGTCCCAAAGAGTGCCTTCGGTGGCTCCTTCGGTGGCTTGTTCAGCACCACCAGGATTTGTGGAAAACAGCCCA